CCTATGCAGAAATGGGTGCTGTCATCACCTATTTTATGATGCTCTCTGAACAATGGAATTGTAAGAGCGGATGAGGTCTCACAGTTAATGACAGAAAAAAATAAGGAGAAGGCTAACTGAGGTACCTGGGTATCACTTTCGATAGAAGCCTGTACGGCGCTTAATGCACTTAAGGTTATTCATTCATTCATTCAGTAGCATGTCCCTCGCGGAACCTCGCTGCCATAACAACCCTTCGGAAAACCTTCCTATCCTGAGCAAGATGTCCTGCGTCTGATACACCCATCTGGAGACCATCTGCCACATCCTGCACCCATCTTCTCCTTGGCCTTCCTCTTCCTCTCTTCCCAGGCATATACCCCTCCATTATTGTTCTCTCTAGACTTCCATGACGTTTCAAGTGACCAAAATATTTCAATTTTCTTTGTTTTATTGTCTTTACTAGCCAACCCTCTTCAATATTCAGCTCTTGAAGTATGGATGCATTTGTTCTTTTCTTTACCCAAGATATTCTTAGAACCTGTCTGTAACATTTATATTCAAATGCATTTATGCGCTGTTCCGCTTGTTTAGTAAGTGTCCAGGTCTCACAGGCTTATGTTGCAATGGGAAAGATGCATGCTCTTAAAAATCTGACCTTTGTAATTCTATCTGTACAATTCCATAATTTATTCAGTTGTTTTAGTCTTTGAAGAGCAATTGATAGTCGCCGTTTAATTTCTTTCATTGTGTCACCATTGTTGGTAACCAGTGACCCAAGATATTCGAAATTTTCCACCACTTCCAATCCTTCCTCATTAACACATATTTCCTTCTCCATGGCAGTTTTGTTTGTATGCATTATCTTTGTTTTTGCTATGTTAAGAAATAAGTTATGATTTTCACTATTTCTTTGGAGTGAGGTTAATAAGTTTTCTAAACCATTTTGTGATGTTGATAGTAATACTGTATCATCAGCATAACGAATTTCTGGTATTTCATGACCACTGATGTTTAGGGCATCATATTGTTCCTTGTTTATATCATCTCTTACATTTCTCATTATATTTTCGGCGTACAGGTTGAACACATACGGTGACAGCACACATCCCTGACGGACTCCTTGCTTGATGCCAAACCAGTCTGATGTCTCTCCATCTATTCTGACTGCTGCTTGTTGGTCTTGATAGAGCATTTTAGTGAGCTGCACTATATGTGATGGAAAGCCCATATTCCTCATGATTTCCCAAAGCTTCTGATGTTGAACACAGTCAAATGCTTTTGAATAATCCACAAAACATAAGAACAGATTTACATTAAATTCTCTACACTTCTCTATTATTAAACGCATATTGAATATATGATCTCTTGTTCCTCTTCCCTGTCTAAATCCAGCCTGAGCTACATTAATCTCTTCTTCCATTTTCTTATGCAGTCTTCTCATTATAATTTTTAGTAGAATTTTACTTGCATGACTGATCAGGGCAATAGTTCGATAGTTTGTACATAATTTCAGGTCACCCTTTTTTTGGTATTGGAATGAAGATAGTTCTCTTCCAGTCTTTTGGCCAAATACCATATTTCCATATCTTTTCACATAATGCATGATAGATTTTTATGCTTTCTTCTCCTCCCGCTTTAATCAATTCAGCTGGTATCTCATCACATCCAAGTGATTTTACCATTTTTCAGGCTCCTTATTGCCCATGAAATTTCATCTAATGAAGGTTCAGGTTCTGCCTCTACTGTTACTGGTTCATGTATATCATTCATATCCTCACTGTCATTCATATCATACATTCCGCTGCAGTATTCCTGCCATCTTCCTAGAATTTGTCTAGATTCTGTTAAAGTATTTCCCAACCTGTCACAAATAACATTTAACTGAGGTTGAAAATTTCTTGTCAATAACTTCATTTCCTTGAACATTTCGTAATCTCTTCCATTTTTATGATGCTGCTCTATTTTAATACAGCAATCTTGTACATACTGATTTTTATCCTTTCTTGTGTACTTTCTTATTTCTCGTGTTAAAAATTTATACTCCATCCTACTGTCATTGGTTTATCCTTTCTTTTTCAGTTCCCTTCGTTGTTTTATTAGTTCTAACGTGTATGGTGTGATTAAGGTTATAGCAGCATTAAATATGGAACAACGAATGCTGTTCATAAGGTTCCAGCATTGGATCCTTTCGGTGATAGATTATGGACTTGGAATGCTTACCGTATACAAGTGTCAGCCGACGAAACTTGAACGCATACAGAATGAAGCCACGAGGGTAACTATGGGATGTACAAGCAATAACCCTGTAGTTTGTATGCTATATATACTTGCAGTGCCGACTATTACAGACAGGCTCGAAGTACTACTGCAAGCTAAGTCATATCTGAGAATATCTCTGCATGAAGCCCTAGACAACGTTAAGGGTCACAGACTGAAAGGGTGAAGGTCTTGTGTAGCGCAAGCTGAACACCATTAGACGTGTGTGGACTTGATAACACTGGGCGAGGAGAGGGGCGGTTCAGAATGTCCCAGCAAAAGTCAGATTTGTGTAGGGTTTTGATCACACTGGGCCGTGAGTGCAGGGATGCCCCGGGCGCTGTAGAATCAGAAGTTTGACAAATTATTCATGACAATTCTCGGCCAGGTGATCTCATAATCTTTACAGATGGCTCTGTGTTGCGAGGCAGACGAAGCTTATGGGGTTTCTTAGCAATAACGAATATACTTAACTTTGTGCAACAAAGCCTGGCATATGAAACCACATTATTTATAAAATGGAGGTGGAGGCAGTCACTGTAGCCTTTAGCTGGATAAAAAATAATGTGCACACACAGGCCGTAATTATAACTGACTTAAAGATCATGTTGATAAAGGTGGAGACCGGTATGCTCCGTGAAGATTGGCAAGCATCATTTCAGAGATCCAGGGTGTTGCTTCTTTGGTCATTGCCATTACCTACAGTGGTCTGACTACTTCAAATTCCAACCAGAACTATAAAAGCTCATGAGCTTCTTACAAGGCAAACCATAGATCCATCTGTGTAAATTACAGTTTCACCTTCTAGAAAATTCTCTAAAGTCCAAGCTTGCACTTCTGCCTCCACAGCGCCAGAATAGTATTCTGTGTGGCTAGTTCTACTTCTCGTTTATTTTAATTTTGTAATTAGGAACCTTTTTGGGGGCCGACATTGTGCTACCAGTGTCAAACATGGACCCTTACTACAACTAATGAGCGGAAGGTCGTAACAACAGAGATGAGATCTATTAGGAGAGCTGACGGTGTCACATCATCAATCAGCAAAACCTTTACAGAACGTCGCTCTCTTCAAGGCACGCTTGAAAGTATTCCTTTCCATGACCAGCTCTCCGGCCCTATGTGCTTTCAATGCCAATGCATCTTCAATGTCTTGTATCCATCTTCGCGGTGGTTGACCCCTGCCTTGCCTTCCACAAACTGCACATTCCATTACCGTCTTTTGCAAGCCACCATTACACTTGATGGGACCAACATACTTTAACTTTCGGTGTGACAAGAAGAGATAGAATCAAGAATGGAGAAGTTAGAAGAAGACACGGACTGAAACCATTAATATTATTTTTTTTTTAAATGAGATAGTTTGGCTACCTGACGAGAATGCCCGGGTGCCAACTGCCACATAGAGCCAGGCTGAAGAAATATAATAAACATAGAGCAAGGGAAAGACCACGCAAGATATCGAGCAACACCATCAGGAACAACCTAAAAGAAATGAACACCAACGTGCACGATGCATTGGAAAAAGCGCACAAATCATCCTTACATCTCGCCCTCGCTAAGGTAAATGACGGAAGAGAAGAAAAAAATGAAGAAGAATTCTTCTTCTTTGTGTTCACCAGCTGTACACTCTGGCGTAAAGTTCTGGTTGTTCGTCCACTACTGAACTGCAGTCATGCTCCAGAACCTGAGTGTTGCATGTGCATCAGTTTTACAGATCTGATTCAATTGAATGCAGACTGCTGGTTCCTTGCCTCCCAGGCAGATGCACTCCGACTTCAAAGGAAGCTCCCCAGTTAGTCGACTCTTACGACATGCTTTTGGGGAGGCAGTGGGTCTATTCTTGTTTTCCCCACAATAGGGCCCCGGAACCCACACGGGGGTGAAGAAGAATAAGGGCGCATCTTCTTTCGGTCATTCTGCAAAAAAAAAAAAAAAACTTATATCAGGAGGCCAGCTTCTTGTTGCAAGTTATCGTGCAATCACATTCACCATGTGTACCATACAATGACGGGTCTGAGACGCCAGCCAAATTACGAGACCTCAGATTGGAGCCCATTTATGCTACTTTCGGGTTCCTAATAGAGCAATGATGCGCAATAACAGACTCTTAATGTCTATGAGCCTCTCTTGTCCAAGCCAATACCGTCCCCAGAAAGCTAAAGGAGGTCGTGCTTAAGCATACCTAACATTTACATGGTGGACCCTGTTCTACCCAGCAATCCAGTAAAAGGTTGAGGTCTCAACCCCAGCGGGAAACTGGATGGGACAACAGACGAGGTAAAGGCGAAGGGATGCGTCCACACTCCATAGCAAGAGATCATGAGGTCTTTATTACTGGGAGGATACAAAATCACAGCACTATGCTACCCCTTCCTCACCCTCCGCTATATATATATATATATATATATATATATATATATATATATATATATATATATATATATATATATGTATATATAAGATTGGAGACATTATAACTACCTTTTTATAGAAATAATCAACAAATGTACCATGGGGATGGCTGCTGCATCGGAGGAATGAGCACGCATAGGAATATCTAATGTGCAATGAAGTATACTGTGATATCATGATAATTTTTCTTCTTCTTTTTCTTCGTCTTCAGCATTCCGAGCCCTTGAGGTTCATTGCTGCAGATATCACCCACCTCATGATAATTGCAGAGTTTATTTCGTAAGTAAAAACCGTTTTTTTTCATGTTAAGTCGTTGTGGTCACGTGATCATTATATCAAAGATGGCGGAGAAATCCAGCAGGGATAGGGCTATGGGAAAAGCCAGGGTGTGTGTTATTTGGCTCTTTAATGCTTTTGTACATAATTCATTTATTTCAGTCAATTGTCCATTTAAAAGAGGTTTTCTAAATTCACCATCGTAGATTAATCACTGTTCTGAAATAAGTTGTTTTTATTCTGTTATTATAATGAATGTGTGTGTAACTGTGTTGATCTTGATCGGAGACTCAGGAGAGCAAGTTGCATTTTTTCATGGTTTTGGAGGGGATATATATGCGTTAGGTTACTGATTAGATTGAGTATTGTGCAGTTTCTGTATTGTATAAAAATTGGGGGAAATAAATCACTGATAGAGATGACAAAGTAAAATTCAACCGTAACTCTTTCAAGTCTACTTTAGTTACACTACACAATATAATATATATAAATTATGATATAGAAGCGCAGATATTATTATTTTATAAGATATAATATAAATAAGTTTAATTTAAATTATTTGTGTCATACTAATTATTAGTATTACAATTATTACACAAATAATTTAAATTAAACTATTATATTATTCTAATAGCAGAATAACTGTTGTATGTTCTGTGTCAACTGTGTGTTTGCGTTTTTTTCAGTTTGTATATGAGTATATGGTTTGCTATTTGTCAGTTGAATTTTTTTTTCAGTTGCACCAATTTGAATATGGAAAATTAAAGTCATCAAGAAAGTTAGAAAGAATAGTTATAGTCAATACTGAGATTACAGAGGCATATCTCTTCTTATTCACATAGAAAGAGTTTCTGCAAAATTTGTTTAGAACAGAGAGTAATAAGATATAAAGTGGAACCACTCCTAAATAATTAGCAGTTTGGTTTCAGAAAGAGGGGGGGGGGGGGGGGGGGGGGGTAAACCAATGCTATTTTTAACACTGCAAGAGATGAGTAAGAAAACCATGAGTATAACAACCAGCTAAATGGAGCTTTTACTATGCATTTGACAGAATAAACCAAAGCAAGCTATAGTTAGTGCTAGAAAAGTATGGTGTAAATCAGAGCTATTCAGCAAAGTTTACTGGGTCCAAAATTTAAAAAATGGAAATGAAATAACCTTTTTTTCCCCGCAGACTAGTCTTAACAGTGTTGACAAGCAAACAAATCCCTGAATTTCAATGATCGGTATAGTTTCTTATGAAACAAGCTATAAAAAATGTGTTTAATGATATTCTTCAACAAAAAAATGTCAAAACACTGAAATTTATCATACTTTTTCTTTAAAATGTATACTATTTAGAGTGACATACTCAGATACGTACTTACAAAACCCTGAAATTTATCATACTTTTTCTTTAAAAAGTAAACTATTTAGAGTGACATACTCAGATAAGTACTCACAAAACCCTGAAATTCAACTTATTGTTTCTCTTCAGCTGAGTGAAAGTAAACTCCGAGCATTTGACATAGGGAATATGTCACTAGGAACAAAAACTCTCTCTAAAAGGGAGCAGGAAGAACTGAAAAGAAAGGTAATGCAATTTTTATGTTGAAATGTTTTTTCTTGCATCTGTTCTTATTTATACAGTGGTATGTTTGTATCATAAAGAGGGTGCTAAAATGTTACATAGAACCTGTTCTGCTGTATGGCAGCGAATCTTGGAATGTCTGTGAACAAATTAAGAAGAATTTGGAAGCAACAGAGATGTGGTTTCTGAGACTAATGTTATGAATACCTTGGACGGCTAGAGTCACTTACAATGACTGTGAACAAATTAAGAAGAATTTGGAAGCAACAGAGATGTGGTTTCTGAGACTAATGTTATGAATACCTTGGACGGCTAGAGTAACTTACAATGACTGCTTGTAAGAGAAGCTAATGAAAGTAGATCTCTAAATACAACAACAAGAAAGAGGCAAACACTGTTCTTTGGCCACATAATCAGAAGAGAGACATTGGAGAACATCGTGACAACTGGAAAGATCAGTGGAAAAAGGGGTAGAGGCAGACCAAGAGAGAAGATGCTGGATGTGCTGAAATTATGTCATGGAGGCATATCATCAGGAGAGCGGTTCCAGGCAACCAGGGATCGTGATCTGTGGTGACATATGAGCACCTAGGCCAGTTAACAGGGCACATGATGATGCTTGTGCTGTTGAGTGTTAGGTAACTGACAAAAAATGTGCCCAGAGTGTGCATTTGTTTCCAAGATTTGCAAGAACTGTTCAACACTAAAGACATGCAGCATTGGATAAATAAACAAGAGGATTGACACAGTTGGTGCAGCATCATTCTGATGTTCCTTCGGTTCTTTATTAATATCCGACCCCAGATGACGTCACAGGACAGTCCCAACATTTTAGAGAGCGGTAAGACTGGGTTTTCTACCTTTCTGATGCTTTTAACGACCCCAAGACATCTAGAACAGGGCCCTAACCCCAACCTACCTACGTCCCAGCACTGGTTCTGTTTGCGTCTGCACATTGTTTAGGAGGCCCGGATATGTTTATACATATTCACTAAAAATAGTTCAAATGCCCGGCAGGGTTGTGGGTTTTTCCTGACGGGGGAAAACATTAAGTTCTAACCCGCACAGTCCGTGGCGGCTACACAATCTATGCAGCCCTAAATCCTCACAAGCGCAAATACCCCTTGCCTACACTGCATAAGTGGTAACTACAGGCAGTATTTAGGTGGGAAGGGAGGATGTGGGGGGAATAAAAATATCTTTTTAGACATGATATCATCATAATTCTCTCTTAGACTTTAATAATTGTGACACATTATGTTACTTTATATATTATTTGTTAAGACCAAAAGGAATTAAAAAAAAAAAAGCATCTTATAAACATTTACTAGTGCCCTGTGTGAAATAGCATACTGGGGGTGGGGTGATATCAAGTTATTAGCTTGTTTTCTGAATAATATTCAGGTGAAAGGGGTTTAAGGACACCTTATCTTTTGTAAGGGAGCCACCATGGTTTAGCGGCTAGACGCTCACCTGCAGATCGGAAGGTTGTGGGTTCCTGCGGATCGGAAGGTCGTGGGTTCAGGTCCTAACAGGGGCCGGACTTTTTAAAAAATGACCTTGGCTCCCAGGTCGACCCAGCTTTGAGTGGGTACCAGGGACAATCCTGGAAAGTAAAGTGTGGTCGGCGTGGTGCTGACCACATCACCCACCAAGTGTCATGTGGTCTATCAAATATAGGTCTAGCCTTATACACTCAGTATGCCTGAAGACATGGAAAAGGGTCCTTTACTTAATTTTTTTTTACTTTATCTTTCATAATCGTATTCTTATTCTTCCCTGTATAAATTTTTTCTTTTTCAAGTTCTCTTCTCCTCATATGGAACAATCACACCATCTAGTAAGGCGTATTATGTTGATGCAAAATGATGTACACACTGTTTCATAAAATCTGTAAGAGAAGTGGCAGTAAAGTACTGCAGAAGAAGTCTGTGATAAACAGCTGTCATAGGCCTGCATGTGTTTCCCCCATGATCATGTAGCAGTTTCTTTTCAGAATGTCACTCTTATCACTGTCTGCCTGTAAGAAACTGACTCTTACCAGCTCTCCTGCCTCATGCACTTTCACATCCAAGGAGTCATTTATATCATGTGCTCATCTTTATGTTGATCGGCAACTGCCCCTCCTTATTGGTACCATGGCTTCTGCTATTATTGTTTTCAATCCACAATAGCGCTTGATATGACCAAAATATTTCAGCCTCTGAGATGAAATACTGTTTAAGAGTTTATTAGCCAATCGTCCTTGATGTTTTCAGCGGGGAATACATGAAAAGGTGATGATAAAACTGCTGCAGGTCACCGTGTAGCAAAAGATAAAATAGATAAGGGAAAAGTGAAACATTTATACCCAAACAGTGGTCAGCATTTGTGTCACTGAAATTGAAGAAACTGAGTGGAGGGTTCCCAGAGCTCCATTTTGGAGAAGCATTTGTGTCATTGAAATTAAAGAAACTAAGTAGAGGGTTCCGGGAGCTCCATTTTGGAGAACAAAGAATAGACCTGATGCTCACCCTAACTGGCATGTTGGTGGAGGTGACTAATTAGAGATGTTTCCTTCAAAGTCGAAGTGCATCTGCCTGAGAGACAAGGAACCAACAGTCTGCATATAGATAAGTCAGATCTCAGATGTGCATCATAAACTAAAGTTCTGGATAAGATGACTACATTTACATCTGGTGACTGTGAAGTAGTAGTAGTCCCACAGTGGGTAGGTGAGTGTTCTCTGTGGTGCAAAACCATTTATTTGGGCCCCCATTTCTGTGAGATCTGAACAGTTTGCTAACAATCTCTATGCAACATGTGGATTTTCAACAGGAAGATGAGGCAGCAACGGCAGCAGTGTATGAACAATTTGTGGCATCTTTTGAGGATGCAGACAAGCTTAACAAAGCCTGGGTGAAAGGAGGTGTAGTCAACCCAGAGAAAAGTGAGTAGTTTTGCAGTGTTACATGAGATAAGGGAGCTGCAGTTGTAAGTTAAGTTATCAGTTGGGTTGTCTTTATGCCACTCTGGAAATGTGCATAGGGCTCAGATTCCTCCTTCAGCATATACAATAGCGTCTTATGAATAATAGTGCCAGTTCTGTGCTAGTTAACACGACTTTTTGTATGTCTGGTGTGCCTCTCATGCTTGGCTGTGCTGTAATTACTTCCAGTTCTCAAGTTTTTAGCAGTAATACTGACCAAAATCTCCCGATCTTCCTATCTTTTTTTAAAAGTCATTAACAACGTCAGCACGATACAAAGGACGGCCATCTTCTGCACATAGGTCAAAATCGTCCAGTCTGTCACTTCTTTAATTGTCAACACTGCATATCCTGGGACAGAGATAAAGGAAACTTCGCACAGTGGAGTTTTGCAATGACTCGGTCCACTATCAGTGTACAGAGCCTGCCTCGACCCACTGAATCATACTCATAGAATCGCTGATGTCACTTAACAGAATGCATGCTTACATGCCTTTGTCTTCATATGTTCAACAACAGACATGATAGTCAGTCAGTCCTGTCCAGCTTATAAACAGAACAATGCTGCATCTAAGGTTGTTGCTGGCCCTCCCTATAGTTTGTCTTGCAGTATAGCTCCCTTGGGCCGATCCACAACTTCTGCAGCACAAGTTAGGGAGTCTCTGTTCTCTTTACGGTCACAGGCAGCATTCTTTTTTCTCATTTTCTGATTAGGTTTGCTCTTTTTAGCTCAAAAAATGATTATTCCTTCCTGTAGAGATAAAGCATGGTACCAGGAAGGAGGGGCAGAGGCCAACCAACACGAAGATGGGCACAGGACATGACTGACTCCTTGGGTGTGAAAGTACATGAGGCGGGAGAACTGGCAAGAGACCGAGTTTCTTACAGGCAGACTGTGATGAGAGCGACGTTCTGCAAAGGACCGGCTACATGATGATGAGAGATAAAGGAGCTAAATAACTCAAAGGCTTGATGCTTGCCTTTCAACCTGATGGCTACAGATTCGAATGCTCAGGGCAAATAAAAAAAATTTAAAAGAGTTTCCAGACTAGACGCTCTCCATGTGCTGTTCCAGGAACCCATTTTTGATGGGGAAAAAAATAATAGATCCACTGCGCCCTAACAAGCTTGTTGTTAAAGTCGACTAATTAAGGGGGTTTCCTTCAAAGTCGGAGTGCATCTGCCTGAAAGGCAAGGAACCAACAGTCTGCTTACAGATAGACCAGATTTTTAAAATGGATGTACATGCAAAACTCTTGTTCTGGAAGAAGACTAAAGTGCAGAAATGGACGAACATAAACATGAAGAAGAAGAAAAAGAAACCATTCACAAGTTTTTGTCTCCTGTGTGAGTTCCGGTACCCTATTATTGGGAAAACATGAATAGACTACTGTCTACCCGAAAGCATGTTGTAAGAGTCGAGTAATGGGGAGGTTCTTTTGAAGTCGGAGTGCATCTGCCTGAGAAGCAAGGAACCAGCAGTCTGCATACAAATAAGTCAGATCTTTAAAACGAATGCACACTCAACACTCAGGTTCTGGAACAGGACTGCAGTCCAGAAGTGGACAAACAACCAGAACTTTCCTCCAGAGTTTACAGCTGGTGAATGCAAAGAAGAAGAAGAAGAAGAAAAGTTTTTGTGGCATATTTACAAAACCGATTTATAAATTTTGATCACAGAAAACTCAGTAGACAAAGAATAATGGTGCATCTTTTGTTCTAACTTTCAGAAACTGAAGATAAAGGTGGAGGAAGTCGCCTGTATAAACCCACATCAAAACTAGCACAACTGGCGTCAACATTTTCTTCAGTTAAAGACATAAAAAAGGAGGAAGAAAGACAAGAAAAGAGAGAAGAGAAAATCAGATTGGTTTGTACTGGTTCATATTATGTTACCTGTTTTGTTGTTGAGAGGTACACAATGTTTAAAAAATAAGCGGGACATGGTGTTAAAAATGAGATTGGCAGGGTGTTACAAAAGAGGGAAACAGGATGTTAAAATGAGTGGAACAATCCTGCATGGCTTGGTCTCTCTCCAAAAAGTGGCTAGTCACTATGAGAGGGACAGATGTTGTGTGAATGGATCAGAAGGGGCGGAGTATCAGTGTCAGAAGTAGCGTAGAATAGTCATGGAAACTAATGCAGCTAAGAAAAAAAATGAATACAACTTAAAAAAAACCCACACAAAAAACTATTAATAATTTTTCATTATAGCTATGCCATAGAGCAGTGGCTCTCAAATTAAGGGTACATGGATCCCAGTAAGTCTGAGATATTATTTACCCCCTCCCCCTCCTTTACACCCCCCAAAAAAGCAGTTACTTTTTGTGATTCTGATAGAGATGTCTTTTTAAATTTTTCAGCATGACTTAAAAAGTATATAGCCATGTCAAACAAGGGGTCTGCTAGTCCACGGCTAAAAAGTATATAGCCATGTCAAACAAGGGGTCTGCTAGTCCACGGCCAGCTTCAGATATAAGGCCATACATCTCAAATGTGAATTCCCATTTTTGTGAGGCCCGACGTAACCAGACGGTGGTAACAGTTGTTATCGAGTAGATTTATACACAAATTGAACTACAGTTTAATTAATTTGCAACATGTGTTATTAAACGAATTATCATTTCGAAGATAAATACATTTATTTATCTTCGGAATAATAATTCATTCACCAACACATGTTGCAAAATAATTAAACTAGTTCATTTTGTGTATAAATCTTTTTGATAATAATTGTTACCACCGACCGGCCACGCCAACCTCACAAAAACGGGGAATTCCTGTTTGAGCTGAAGCTTGCTCTAGCTGGTCTTAACTCTTGGGAACCACTGCTGTGCAGGATTGGGAGCTTTCTGCTGGGTGTTTTGTCAGTTGTTAATAAAATTAAAGGAGTACAACTATTAAACGCACACATGCCTTATGTCAGTCACAGTTTGCTGCATTTTGTTAAGACATATAATTTATTTGTTGTTGTATATTTGTTGCGTCCATGGCATTGGCGCTGTAAACACGCCTTGTAATTTCATGGTGCCAGCTATGGGGTGATTTGACATGTAGACTGCCTTATGTTGGTTTCAACATTGTATCGAGAGGCGACCATTCAGTGGCAATCTTCTTCTTCTTCAGCATTTCGAGCCCTTGAGGTTCCTTGCTGCAGATATCACCTGCCTTCATTCATCTCTCTGGTTGGCCTTCACTTTACAAGTGTTTGCAGGTCTGCCTTGTGGTCTTCGACCATTCAACTCCCTTGTGTATACAGTTTTTACTTCTCTGTCATCTGACATTCTCTCAGTATACCCCAACCATTTCAGTCTTTTAGCTCTCATGATGCCAGTTATTAGTAGTAATTTAAACATTATGAATTTCGTTGTCGCTCCTCACTCTCCATTTCCTGCTGTTTGTATCTTTGATGTGTCCAAACATTTGTCATAAGACTTTGTTTTTGAAAACCTGTAAAAGGCTTCATCTCTTTTAGTTGTGCTCCAAGTTTTAGACCATTATAAAACAACTGGTCTTATCATTTTATATATTTTGATCATAGTGTTGTGAGGTAGACTTTGACTTAAGCTGGCAAACAAATGGAAACAAAAATTGCCTAGTGAAATCTGACAAAGCTGTAACATATTGGGGTTGGTTCTGTAAAGGATGCATAACTGGGGGGGGGGGGGGGGGGGTGGGGGGGGGGCGGGGGGGGGGGGGGGGTAAATTTTTGAATTTTTTTTGGGTCAAAATGTCAGTACACAAGCACACACATGCATAGCAGATGAGCATGTTCACTATTAGTGTTGTTTGTTCTTTTCGCAGAGTGTTTTGAAAAAGAAGAAAGACGAAAAGAAAAAGAGCAATTTGGAGCTATTTAAAGAGGAGCTGAAATCGTAAGTATCGTTTCTTTTCCATACAGTGTTAACGTCCTCAGCATGTGACCATGTGTATTAATGGCTGGCTTGGAATCAACATGTTGGTGCATATTGTCAGATGTGGAATTATAAGAACACTGGTTGTTACATATGCCAGTTTTTTTCAGTGTTTCTACTCTATGTGCATACCATTTACGCTTGGTAAAAACATGTTTGGGCTTTTTGGGGTGAGTTAAATATGCAGAGGAGGTACAGAATGATCATCACAGTCTGATGAGGATGAGGCTGCGAGTTTTTAGTTTCGGGGGGAAGGATGGTTGGAAATCAGTCAGACTGTTATTGGTACTGTTGGAATTAGAACTCTGCTGCTGGAGATGGGCAGAGTGCTTATGGGAATGTCCCGAGTGCTGTGATTTCGATTTACATTTAAAGTCTGTTAAACAAAAAGATAAACAGCTTTCTGATCTGTTAGCATCTCATTGCAATATTTATATCATAACATAGGCTTCATGTACCAGTCTTGAGAAATGTTTTCCTCATTCTTCCTTTTATCCCCTTACCACCTCCCTTCTTTTCCACCGGGGAATAGGCTAACTTATAAGTCCTTTATGCCACTGTGTGCAGCTCATTTTATGTCCTTCCTGTCTTATTCATCCCAATCTTGAATTCTCCTCTCCATGTACTTTTTTGCCTTCTATTGTTTTGTTGCAAATATATTTTTGCTGTATTAATGCTTTAATATGTGTCATGTCAAGCATAAAATTGTCACCCTCTTCTCTTGCTTCAGTGGGATTAAGTTCTCTCTCAGAACTATTTTTCTTTATAATTGGTTAGTTTTCCCCTAGCGATAATGAAGTAAATTAGCCCAAGGTCAACCATATACTTTGTTTCCTCTGATGTTTAGTAGTAACATAGTCTCTTGAATCTTCTTCTTCACATTTACCAGCTGTAGGCTTTGGTGGAAAGTTCTAGTTGTTCATCAACCTCTGGACTTTAGTCTTGTTACAAAACCTGACTGTTGCATGCACATTTGTTTTACACATCTAGCTTTTTTGCATGCAGACTGTTGATTCCTTGCCTCTCAGGCAGATGCAATCCAGCTTCCATAAAAGGCCCCCCCCCCACTTAGTCTGCTCTAATGACATGCTTGTTGGGGGGGGGGGGCAGTAGGTCTGTTCTTGTTTTCTCCACAATGGGGTACCTGAACCTCAGGAAGGAAGCTTCTGCATAGAGTCCTAATTTAGGGTTTTTGTTTCCCACGTAAATGTTGGTGGTGATCTCATCACTTGGTTCTCCTGCTGCTAAATAAAATTATATAAAAATATGGCAGTCAGAATACATTATACAAAAGCATAATTTTGTCTACAAATGTTAATGTTTACATACAATCATCCCCGACCCCCGCTATTTTTGTGAATAGGAGGTCTGCAGTTAAGTCATTTGCCTCACACTCTCGCTCCTCTCTGAGATTTTTGGTTTGCTGTTGATAGCTGCTGGGTGTTAATTGGTAAGATCTGAGAATGTATTCCGTTCTGCTTTCTTGTAGTTCTAATGTGACGTGGAGTTTCTTTCATTGTACTGTGTGCTCATATCTATACTTAGAGACATGGTCTGCCAATTGGTTGTTAACTACACATCTAGTTCAAGCTGCAATTTTGACTGTGGCAGATTGATTAGCTTAGGTCTGTGTCTATTGCCGAATCTTCTACCTCTGCTCTAATGTTCAGTTCTTTCTATCCCCAGCTTTGAGAGCGACTGTTGAAGTTACCGACTGATAAATACAGTCTTTTATATCTGTGCAGTTTGATAGGTCCCTGTCTGTAGGAAAGTAATAATTGTAGATAGTTCAACTATGCTTCTTCAGGATGAGTTTTAACACCAATAATTTCAGCATCCTGGCCTGTATCTTTCTAATTTAACAGACTTGAATTGAGTTTGTAAGTAGGGTAAGCAAACCATCCTCATTTATTCCCTCTCTATCCATCATAAAGGATTGGTATCCTCTGACTTGAAACTTGTTCTTGGGGATCAGATGTCTCACGTTGTGAATTTTTTAGGTTAATTTTACGGACTGCACCATTTGGCTTATGAGATTCCTCGGGGGTTTGTCCCTGGAGCTGCAGGCTTCATGTTTTTGCAGCTCTTTCAACAGGTGGCTAGCTTTTCTATGGAGAGAACAGAGCCATATGGCATCAAGCATGATGCAATGAAGTCAATCCTCTCAACCATAAACTTGTAAACTTTTAAAAATGTGTATAGAGGAGCGGTTACAGCATCAGGCTCTCATGCAAGAGATCCAGGTTCGACCTCACCAGTAAGGTGATAGAAGTTGTTCTGCTGGGGGCAAAAGTAAAATCCTAAGCTGCACAGTCTGTGGTGACAGCACTAGCCCTGCGGTCCTGAACACTCAGGCTCATGACCACCCTAGGTTTAAGGTTTCAACAACGGATCAACATCATGGTACACGGGTAGTAACCCATAAGTGCTCCGTTCTTCAAGTCTGAGTCGGAAGAAGCTCAGCACAATGCACAGGCTCTGTAGCACCAGCAAGGATCCTGAAATACTTTGGGTAGATTTTTACTGCCAAGGGATTTTTTAACGAGCGCACCAATGCACACTGGCATCCGATCTAACTACACAGAGAAGGGAGAATTACTAGAAGTCCAAGTCCACGTGAAAAAATCCCAGCTCTTACCGGGGATTGAACCCAGAACCTCTAGCACTTGAGGCGGACACCATGCCTTGAGACCCCGCGGCCCCCCTTACACCACCCTCAAAAGTGGTAAATACAGACAGTAGTGAGAGTTTGATAGTTATACACTGGAAGATAAATACATTTTGATCACTGTAACCATCTGTTTGAACAGAATTCAGGAGCAGAGAGAAGAGCGTCATGCTCTGAAACGTGCTCGTGGGGAGATGGTTGATGATATCGAGCTTCTGCCCCCCAGCATAAGAGGAAATGAATACGACCTGGGAGGCAGCTTTCCAAAAGGTTTGTGAGTTTTCATTGTAAGGCAGGTATTTGTTTTAACTTTCATACAGTATGTAAAGATGGAAACAAAAGAGGCAGAGAAATTGGCTGGTTCGACAACACTTGGTAGTGAATTGATGCATGATGAAGTAGATGTGGTCAAGGCTTTATAGGAGGGAGTAAACAGTGCAGAGGCGGGAAAGGACCATCACTGTCTAGAGAGAATGATGCGGTGAGGAGTAACCAGGTAATCTTAGTGAATACTCAGAGGAGAGGAAAGACGAACATATAATCAGACTGCTGCTGGTACAATAAGGATTAGAGCTCCATACTGGCTGCCAAAGATGAGGGCAGAGCACTTATGGGAAATCCTGAGTGCCATGATATCAATTCTTAATTTAGAGAGGAGATGAGAGAGAAAGGAGTCGGATAAATGCACCTAGACCCCCCTCCCCCCAACATGCATGTTGTAAAAGTAAACTAATTAGAGGTGTTTCCTTTAAAGTCAGAGTGCATTTGCCTGAGAGGCATGGAACTAACAGTCTACATACAAATAAGCCAAAATCTGTAAACTGGATGTACAAGTTCTGTGGCAAGACTGAATTCAAGAGGTGGGTGAACGCAAAAAATAAGAAATTGGATGCGTTTGGCTGAAAGTCCCAGATATTACAGCCTAGCTGCTGATGACAACACAACATGCTAGCCACCTTTTTTAAGTGCGAATAAGAAAATACAACCAGTTGATTGTAGTTGTGCACACGTCTGCCATCATTTCTGTCATTCAGTATTTTTTGTGACCATATTTTCTTGGTTTAAAAAAAAAGCTCTGTTATTGCCCATGAGAGAATGTATCAAAGATTCCTCTTAGAAAAAAGGTGTGATGAAACTATCCAGTAAATTTTTTTACAATTTTAAATAAGATTTCTGTCTCTTTATTTTAACCATACCAAAGCTCACACAAAATGTCTCACAGAGATGAGCAGAATGTGACAGGTTATAGTAGTAGTAAATTTTACCACACTAGAACATCACGCAAGTGAAAAACACCCGAAGCCACAAAGTGCCACCATGTGGATGAGGATCACCTGTGGAGAGGTCCCGGAAACCGCGTTCAGCCATTAGGCAATATTTATGGCTGGGCTATATTGTGGCCCCTGGCAAGAGCCAGAGTGGGGCTTCAAAATAACAAAAAAATTACATCCCACAAGGGGATGAATAGTTTTTAATTAGGTGTGAATACGGGTTATAAATTGGTCTGAAGTAATTAATCTCTAAAATTGGAGAGAGACATGGGGAGCTAAAAGGGGGGGGGGGGGGGGGGGGTGGAGTTTTTCTCTCTTCATATTTGAATGATGTTACTGTGTATATTTGAATAAGCTTTTAAAAAGTTACACTTTATTTTATTTATCTGGTAGAATTTTTACATTCAGTTTATTTCTCTTCAATGTCATCTTGGTTTTACTTTTAAAAGCCTATTGAGAGAGGAGGGGTGAAGGAGAGACACATGGAAAAAAAGAAAGAAGGGGTAAAAAAAAAAGGGGTCTGGGGTAGAGAGAGAGGGGGGATAAAGGATGAGGATGTAAAGATATTGGGGGAGGGGGGGGGGGGGGTGTTGAATACATGTAAACAGTAAAATTTGTAGAAAAAAATTCAGCTTTTGTATAATGTGTTCTGACTGCCGTATTTTTTATTTAATTTTCTTTAGCAGCAGGAGAACCAGGTGATGAGAACACCACCAACATTTACGTTGGAAACATCAACCCTAAAGTAAGACTCCATGCAGAAGCTTCCTTGTCTTTTTTATGTTTTATCGCCTACACCACCGAACTGGCACGAGTCTGCACCATTGCCATAAATGGCAGCACCGGATTTCTTATGAGGATAAGTTGTGAACATAGGCAGTTTTAATCAATTTTGACATTCAGTGAACTCATGGATTATCGAACAGTTGTATCTCATGAAAGAAAATGTTCTTATGATGAACTTGTGTTAGCTTCTAGTATATAAAGTTGTTATACCGATTGAATGTTAGTTTTGAAGAGAATCTGTCTTTTGAGCTGAGTGGTGGCTGACTGGATTGGCCTGGGGTCTAAAATATTTGCGGTGATGAGGCCTGTTGACAAAAGATCAGAAACTGACTGAAAAACAAACACTGGTTATAATTATGAAAGAGATTTCTTCAAACATCTGAATAGAACCGACCAAGTCACTATTTTTCGCCTATGCACTGGACATTGCAAACTCAACACACTTGTATAAATTAGGTATGAGCCAAACAACTCCAATGACTTCATGCTGAACAAACCCCACAACCTGTCTTGCAAGACAGCCCTCTGCTGGAGGAGCTGCAAAACAACATGTGGTCACACCTAGCAGACCTGAAGCTGACATTCCAGTTTGTGGCATGTAGTGGATTAAGCGCATGGTTAGAGATCGCTGAAGAAAAGGGAGAATAAAACAGAAGCAGATGAACTTGATCATTTTTGTACAGCACACCTCTGCATAGCTGTCTTGTGAACCGTTTCCAAAGTCATCGCTGCCAGGAGAGATGGTTAGTTGTATGTCAGTGAGTACCAGAACCATACCTCAAGCTAGAAAATCTGAAGTTCCCAAATTGTGGCAGATCAGGAAGACAAGAAACATTTAGAACAGCAGCTCCAAGATTTGTTTGTAATTGACAAAGTTCATTTCTCCTGTTTATTGTTCGTCTGAGAGATGTTTTAATATTTTTAAAACATACCTTCAGTTTGTGTGTGTGTGTTATCGCAGTAATTTTCTAAACTTGGAAACAAATGTTATTTTTGTAATTGCTATTCCATGTGTGAGTCCTGGGGGCCCCATTATGGGCGAGAGGGGGAGGACCCAATGATCCCCCAACATGGATGTTGTAAAGGCGATTAATGAAAGGTGTTTTCTTCGAAGGTGGAGTACATCTGCCGGAAAGGTGAGGAATCAACAATCTGCGCACAGATAAGCCAGATCTGTAAAACAGATGTGCATGCAACTCTGAATTCTGAACAGAACCAAAGTCCAGAAGTGGGTGAACAATTTTCCACCAAAGTTTACAGTAAGTGATTGTGGCAAAGAAGAAGCGGAACAAGAAGAAGAAGAGAGCTTATTGTTGTTTGTTTGCTTGACTTTCTAGACACAATTTGACATTGACCCAATTTGACATTTTGTGAAATTGGGCCGCTGTGAGATCCATTTGTGAAAAAAAGACATTTTAATAATTTATTGGTATTCATTGTTTTCCTTGTTTGTGTGTGGATTGATAAGCATAACCATGTCTGCTGCTGAATCTAATCATAGATGACAGAAAAAGAACTTTGTGAGATTTTTGGCAAGTATGGCCCTCTTGCTAGCGTGAAGATAATGTGGCCGCGGACAGACGAAGAGCGGTCACGTGGTAGAAACTGCGGGTTTGTGGCATTCATGAACAGGAAGGATGGGGAGCGGGCTATGACTGCGCTCAAGGGTAAGTTATTCCACATTGGTATTTTAGTTGCTGCACACTTCATTTATTTGCTGCACACTTCATTTAGTTATTGTATGCACAATTTAGTGCTCCAGACTAAATTTAATTACTGCACACTGGTTATAAATAACTGCATACTAGATTCAGTTACTGCAAACTAGTTTTTAACACTGCACACTAGATTCAGTTACTGCACACTGGATTCCATTACCGCACACTCGATTATGTTACTGCACACTAGATTTATTACTGCACTTTATATTTTGTTACTGCACAGTAGGTCTATATACTTCACACTAGATTCATTATGCCAGATTAAATTTTATTTCTACATACAAGATTTAATTACTGAACACTAACTAGATTTAGACACGTTATAATTGATTTGGTTACTGCACATTAGATTTAGGGCAAATCTACACACTGAAAAATGAAGAGGATGCCAAACCACCAACTGCACAAAAAACTGGCACCCAGGACACACACAAACAAACAAAACGAATAAAGTGCACAAGCCTAAACCATCTAACAAAAGAATTAGGAAAGTCATACCAACAATTTGCACCTGAGTAATTATTTTTTTCATCTTTGGGGCTCATTGACACTCTGTGTTTTAGTCTCCGTCAATCAGTGTTTCAATCTCTGTCACTCAGTGTTTCAACCTCCATCCCAAACTTGGGAAGCAAAGATGCTGAGCCCAGTTTAGTGATAAAAGCAGTCACAAGGAAACACCTCAAAATGTGCCCACAGGACAGCTAAATGAGAATCTGCACAGATGGATCAGCAAAAGAGGCAGCAACGAATGGTAGAGCAGTTGTTTACATTAAACACCAAGAGGACACTACTGTGTCTCTGGCAGTCCCTACCGGATGAACTTGCTCCAGCTACAAGGCAGAGCTCTCAGACCTACTGATGGCAGGCCAGTACATGAACAGACTGCAAATACCTGCAGGCCAGATAGTTTTTCTCACAGATTCACTGTCAGCCATACAGGCTCTAATCTAAAACTATTGACAGCACACTACAAAGTTTAACAAAGGAACTTGCTGAGTTTGTCAACAAAGGCAGAACCCACCCGCAGTAGATTCCATCTCATTGTGGCATCAAAGGCAATTAAAGCACTGATGCTTTAGCCAAGGAAGGCAGCAGCACACTACAAAACTACCAGCCACTATCGTTTTCAGAAGTTAGATTCCTCATTCAGAGAAAATCAGATTGGAAAACAATAACAGGTTATAACCATGAAACATCTGAACAGACCAAGTCACAAGTTTTGGCTTAAGCAGTGGACATTGCAGACTCGACAAAAACTCATCCAAGTTAGATGTAAGCCAGACAGCTTTCTGTCAGTGCCTTCATGCTGAACAGACTCCAGAACATGTCTTGCAAGACTGTCCTCTTTTGGTGGAGCTGTCTCCCGTGTGGGTTCCGGGGCCCTGTAATAGGGAAAACAAGAATAGACCCACTGCTTACCCAAAAGCATGTCGTAAGAGTCGACTAATTGGGAGCTTCCTTCGAAGTCGGAATGCATCTGCCCGAGAGGCAAGGAACCAACAGTCTGCACACAAATGTGTCAGATCTGTCAAATGGATGCACGCGCAACACTCAAGTCCAGAAGGAGATGAACAACCAGAACTTTCCACCAGAGTTTACAGCTGGTGAACGCAAAGAAGAAGAAGAGGTGGAGCTGTGAAGCAACATGTCCCCACACCCAGTAGACCTGGCAACCAAGCTTTGATGAACTAAAGAGACCTTGAGATGACATCCCAGTTTGTGGCCCATAGTGGATTAAGCCCATGACGCTGAAGTTTGCTGAAGAAGAAGATTTAGTTACTGCATACTAGAGATAAAGTAAAAACTGTAAACAGATGGGAGATGAATGGTTGTAGACCACGAGGCAGCCCAAGAAGATTATGGAAAGATTATGTCCAGACAGACCTTCAAACACTTGGTGCCACCAACTGGAAAGAGAAGGCCAACCAGAGAGATGAATGGAGGAGGGTAATATCTGCAGCAATGAATCTCAAGGGCTCAGACTGCTGAAGAAGAAGAAGAAGAATACTAGAGATAGATACTGCACATTTTATTTAATTATTCCGTACTAGATTAATTTACTCCACATTAGATTCAGCCGACCCATGCTCTTTAGTTACTCCACACTAATTTTAGTTTAAGATATGAAAAGAAAGGGCCGACAGTATTTTAAAAAATGCGACTTTTATTTATATTCAACCCTGCTGTGTGGTGCAAAGTCTTGGACAGTGAACATGCAACTAGAAAATCATATTTGAGTCTCTGGAGATGTGGATATACAGAAGTATAGGTCATATTTGTGAAAGCAAAACAATCAAATGTAATTATGGATGGGTGGGTCTGTTGGTTGGTCGGTCTAGAACTATATGCCCAGAGAACCAGCGGTGTGACAAGGTACCTTTTACTTACTTTTGAAAGAAATGAATATTAATAATGGTAAAGCAGCATAGAAAATTTGATTGATCCCTGATTTAAACTGCTGCTTGTTCTTTTCAGGCAAAGAGATCAACGGATTCGACATGAAACTTGGCTGGGGAAAAGCGGTGCCCATTCCTCCACATCCAGTCTACATACCCCCTGCCCTAGCTGAGCTGACCCAGCCCCCTCCCCCGTCCGGCCTGCCATTCAATGCCCAGATCAAGAGAAGAAAGGACAAAGAGTACTCAAGCGGCCAGCTCCACGTCTTGCCAGAATCTCCGGATGAGCTGGAGAAGGTAATTTTAAGAGGTTTCTGTAAAATTTTTTTGGGTGGGGTGGGGCTTCCTCCTCCAACCTGACATTTTATGTTATGGGAGAATTTGAACACTGTCACATATTTGAGGTAAACAGGTTTGTGTTGCATAGTCTTATGGCTAGCAGTGTAAATATTGAAGCATTTACCTTCAGGAGCCACATTTAATTTATATACAGAGTAGTTAGAATTTCTTTGTCAGGGTTTGGTTTTGTATTTTGAAAGATATCACTTTTGTGTTTGATTTCCATGGTATGCGGTTTTTTAAAAAAAAAGGACTCCCTGGCTTTTGGAGTTTGTTGAGAAAGTGGCACCATGGAAGAAATTGGGGCCTCATCATTTTGTTGTCAAAGACAGCGGTAAATGCACATAATCACTGCAGATAACTTCAGTTGTGGAGGCAGCATCATTACAACAAAATTTATTCGAAGTTACAAAAAATTTTATCGGGCACTGAAAGTAGAAAATTTAATCTAAGTTTATAAAATATACTTTTTTTTCTCAAAAATAAAAATTGGTTAAATTAACCTTTTATTATTACCAGTTAAAATATCTTTTAGGCATTTCTGTAGTAACATGTAATTAGCTCTGCTATAATTATATCCATTGTTTTGGATTGCTATAATTGATTCTAGCAGTAAATGTCAGTTATTACATTTATCAGTAATGTTTGTTTCTTTTAATTTTGTTTTTTGTTGCCATGATGTCCTTGTATGATAATTTCATAAAAACTCTAATCGTTCTGTTTGTCTTTTTCAAACGTCATCTCTGCAGACCTTAGCGAATGCAGTTGTGAAAGTGGTAATCCCTACAGAAAGGTATTGCTGTTTTTCTCTGCGTCCAACCATTATCTGTTTCTAGGCTACAGTGTGTAGTATTAAAAAAATAATCTAGCGAACCTCATACAGTATGATGGCAGCGGCAAGTTGTCAACTTCTGATTGGTCCAAATCTGCTAAAATTGTAGCATTGCTTTATGCGTATGTGGTCATTTTACTCACTTTAATTATGAGCTAAGTGTTCCTGTTTATTTACAATTGCCAATCATAGTGAAGCATCAGTCGGTCAAGCTTTGTCGCTGTAAGGAAGGTTGGCTGAAAAGGATCTGCAGCCTCGTCTATCACACTGGATGTTCACTTTCTCAGACTAATGTTTGTCTGCCTCTTTATGATCTCGGTTTTACTATGATCTTCATTGCCGGCCTGTCTTTTCCATTGATAATCATGGTTTCTTTTTTTTTCTTTTTTAAAATATAAATATCTAATGCATATTCTGCCCTCCGCCTGATTATTTGCTCCACTGGGTCCTGTAATTCCTGCTCACTTTCTGCTAATACCACCTTAGCACCAGCATATCTCAGATTGTTTATAATTTTTCTATTGATATTCAGTCAGGTAATTCTCCAGCTTGTTTACAAATGTTTCTCCGTTTGCTTTTCTGTATACATTCAGACCTAATGTGAATAATTTCTTCAAACATGGTTAAATGGCCACTGTTTGTCTTTTTGTTATCTGCCTTTCTTTCTGTATGCCCCAATCCCTGCAGTCTGTGAGCCCTGGTAATCCCGGTAATTTGTGATGGTTTTAACAGGTTATGAATTCTGTTACTTACTGCTCCTGACTCTCCATTCTTTGCTGTTTGCATCTTTGATGGGTCCAGAGAATCATTCTAAGACTTCCCAAAGGTGTGTAATGAGGCATTTCTTTAAGTTGTACTTCAGGTTTCAGAGCCAGACAGAGCCAGACATCTGGGTCCTTCCTCATTGAATTGCAGTTATGCCTATTCCCTGGGTTTCCTGTGTTATTCTTTTTTATTGAAGTCTTTGTGAGACTTGGAGAAAAATGATCACATGGGCATGTAAAAGTATATCATATCTCCTTTCTGGAAAAAACAACAACACATTTTTGGTTACCAAATTCCCCTTTACAAAGCAGAACAGCTTTCACAACTCACACGTGCGAGAAGGATGACTCACTGAGATGATGGCTTCACAGACAAGAACAAGATGTGGATCAGGAACATGACGTGTTTTTGTTTGTTTGTCTTTATGTGAACAACAGGACAAGTTTGTCCTGCTCATTTTCTCACAGTTGGAAATCTAATATATTTCATGTTGTAAGAAGCGCATGTATTTTATGCTGAACATCTCCTGTAACTTTATATGAAAGCAGTGTGTCTTTGTATAAATAATACCTTATGAAAACTCATTTTTTATGAAGTGTCTAGGAAATGAAGTATTGTACAATGTTCTCCTGCTGTACTTAAAGAAGTTGAATTTTACTGCATAGTTTATTTAGAATTGTTTAGTCTTCAATCCAGTCATTTCATCTATGCAGAAATACTGATTTGATGTTACAGTTTTGAATGTTGTGCTAGTTCTGATAGTTTCAACATACACAAATTTCCTGGTACTAAGAAAGCTCTTTATGCCCTTTGATTTAATCTAACTATGACTTCCTCTTTGTCTGCATTACTCCCCATGTGTTAAAAACAAGAATGGACCCACTGCCTCCCCATCAAGCATGTCATAGGAGTCTACTTACTGAAGGGTGGAAAGGAGGGGGGGGGATCCTTCAAAGTTGGAGTGCATCTGTCTGAGAGTCAAGGAGCCAACAGTCTGAGGCAAGGAACCAACAGTCTGCATACATATAAGCCAGATCTGTAAAATGTGTGTGCATCCAACCCTCAGGTTCTGGAACAAGATTAAAGTCTGGAGGTGGATGAGCAACCAGAACGTTCCCCTGAAGTTTACAGCCGGTGAACGTGAAGAGAAAAAGTCTACATCACTGCCTAAATATGTCTTTGCTGTTTGCATCTTTGATGAATTCAAATTGCATCTTTGGTGGGTTCAAAGATTTGCCATTAGACTGTTCTCAGAAGTGTGTAATTATGTGCTGTCTCTTAAAATTGTTCAGGGCCATACAGAGCCAGATGTCTTGAGTCCTTTCCTTCAGTGAATTTGTCAAAAAAAGGCTCTGGCCGAAACATCCAGTGTTTCTTGTGTGTGCACGTTGTTCCCCTCACCCCTCCTTTGTTAAGCTTCCTAATAACAGTTCAGTGGATTAGTTTGTTTGCCCAAGTATATGTATGATTTCCCCTGTCACTATAGAATGATTGAGCTGTGGTGGGAAGTATTTTTTAAAAACTGAATTACTAACACTGGTCTGATGTGGAGAGGAGGTGTATTTTCATCCTGCCTACAATCGTGGGATCAATCCAGGCTTCCAGCATATCTGTATTGCTATGAGTCTAACACAAGGACAGAGACTTGTGAGATGGGATACTGATCAGTCAGTCTCACAGTGCATTGATGGATTTTATCAGTAAGAAATGGGATCATCTCGTATAACTGTGCCAATATTGTTTTTAAAAAAAGAGGGCCCTTTATACGTTAGTGGCGTATCGGGTATATGAAGCTAAACTCATATTTTATTAGACAAATATTTCCTTGGTGGGTAATAAGGTCAACTTCACAAAGAGCGCCTTTACTTCCCAGGACTTTACCTGGTACCCATTTAAGGCTGGGTCTACCTGAGAGCCAAGGCCACGTTTGAAAAAGATCAGACTCCATGCGGATTTGAACTTATGACCTTAAGATACGCGGGCGAATGTCTAGACCACAGTGTCTCGCATGCCAGTATTGGCAATCACATTATTTTTGTTACTTGTATATATAGTTCAGCTTAATTATTACATCGAAGTCATAAGCGTACAAAAGTCTAATTTGATATTTTAGTTAATTTTTATGGCATGTATTATAGCATTCACATGATGACTCCGGGAAGGCCAACCTGGCCATTATATATCTGCAGAAGTCGAATATATCAGCCAAAAGGTGCAAATATCACAGTGATGCTTTAAATGGACAAAACGAAATTATGTCTTCAGATGAATGAAGAAGAAGAAGAAATTCACACAGCTTAGAAAACTGATTATGGTTTGAGTTACTGCTGGCCAGAAAGATTATATATAAGTAAAATCCCATGTACATGAACACACTTAAGAAGAACACGCGGATAAGATGAACCACATTTTGTTCCCACCAGCAATATATTATTAGTGCCCGCGAGCAGACATTTTTCTACACAAACTTTTGAGTTTTTGGTCCCTTGCAATTCGTGCTAACAAAGTTTTACTGTAATTTGAATATTTTTATATGGTTTGTCCCTCATGTGAAACTTTTTTTAAATTATTTTTTTTTTTTAATTCTTTCAGTCCCAGGCAAGTGTTTCTTAAACATTTTATACACTGAACAGTTGTTGCTGAAAAAGTAATTGAGGTTTGGGGTTTGAATAACGGATCAACATCATGGTACACGGGTAGTAATCCATAAATGCTTCATTCTTCTTCTAACTCAAGTCTTGAGTCCAAAGAAGCTCAGCACAGTGCTCATGCTCTGTAGCACCGGCGAGGATCCTGAAATACTTTGGGTAGATTTTTCACTCAAAATTTCACCGGGCATCACCGTTAGGTAAAGGCTGGGATCTCTTCACGTGGACTTGGACTTCTAGTAATTTCCCCTGGTCTCTGGATAGTGAGATCGGACGCCCGTGTGCATTGTTTGCGCACATAAAAAAAAAATCCCCTGGCAGTTGGAAAAAGTACTAACTTCCTGAAGGGGTTAATATACTACTTTGTTGTCAGTCTTTTTACAGGACCAGCCGCTGCCTTTTGTTTTTCCCGTTTTTTGGGGGCTTGGCTGTTTTTCTAGTTACTTAGTAGTTTACCATTGTTTCTTGAATGAAAGGCTCTGGATGCTGTTGTGGGAACCATTGCAGATGTGGTCTGCTGCTAAATAAACTGCAGCTGGGATCGAATTTGGCATAACGAAGCACATTTGCATCACCTAGGTCAGAGACGCTGGCACAATGCTGCTGCAGTAAACAAAAGGATTTGAACCTCAGGTCGATTCTCTGCTCCTTTGTGTGATTTGGAGGGGGGGGGGGGGGGGGGGGGGAGGATTTTTTGACCAACAGTCCCTTAACAAGCATGTGAAAACAGGAGGCTAAGGATTTACAGAAACTGTTGCTGTGAAAGGTGCAGAAATAGCAACTTTGCGGCAAACCACAACACAGTGCACCAGTTTGCTTTTTAATGGTGATGCAGAAGTAGAAGAAGCTAAATTCAGTTAATAAATTTTATAACTTATATCCATTTTCTACTACAGCAGTGTGTTTGGTAGTCAGAATTTGATTTTTCCAACTAGCTTAGAATCTAGAGTGATACTGATTTATCAGAGTCTACACAAGTCTCTGTGGGGACATTGAGATCATGAAGTGTGAGGCATTGCAGATTTGTCAAGCCTATTGGTCAGTACATCCAGTTTTCACATGCATTTGATGAGACTGGCCCGCTTACCATCCTAGCCTTTGATTGTCCCCAGTCTACTTGCAGGGCAACAGAGTTGTGTCTGTCTAGATCCTGTTCCTTAGCCTGTTTCACTCAGAAGACCCTGCTAGTAACCCACCTACCATTGGCAAAGCTTGCGGGGGAGGGGGGGGGGGTTAATGGAACTCACAAGCACTTTAACTGCTCCAGGGGGAGGGTGCATCAAGTAGTGTTATTTTATGTAATTTCAACTATAATATCCATGCTGCCTGTGTGGGTTCTGGGGCTGTGGGGGGGGGGTAGACCTACTGCCCCCAGCAAGCATGTTGTTAAGGGCGACTCATAAGTCCGCAGAATTTAGTTGGATGTGTTGAGGCGAAAGGCACATAAATCCTAGCCTAGCTGTAAACCACAGTGTGTCAATTGCCTATTTAAGGGCAGTTGCAAACGTTACGCATTCTGTGTCATCCCGAAAAAATGAGATTGAAAACATATTCACAGTATGCTGTAACAATATGTATGTGGAAATGTTTACAATTTTATTCTTACAAAATATATTTAATGTTTTACATGTATATATTTTTTGCAAGCCAATTGTCTACGTTGTGAAACATTGTTAAAATGATAAAGAACCTCCGTCAAATGTAGGTATTCCAACTGAATTTTTTAAATGTCCGACCTAGACTTTTCCGTGGACCACCAGTGTGCCACGACCCATTTCCGTAGACCACCAGTGTTCCACGATCCATTTCTGTGGACCACCAGTGTGCCACGACCCATTTCTGTGGACCACCAGTGTGCCACGACCTATTTCCGTCCACCACCAGTGTGCCACGACTCATTTCCGTGGACCACCAGTGTGCCACCACCCATTTCCGTGGACCACTAGTGTGCCACGACCCACTGGCTGCAGAACACTGTTCTAGAGCATGTAACCAAATGTAGTTTGTTGAAGTCATAGATGGCTGAGAGATTAGAAACATACTCTTCTCACAGATCCAGGGATGTGTGTTCTTTTTTCCCTTGACCAAATGTAGTTTGTTGAAGTCATAGGTAGCTGAGAGATTAGAAACATACTCGTCTCACAGATCCAGGGATGTGTGTTATTTTTTGTCCTTGACCAAATGTAGTTTGCTGAAGTCATAGATGGCTGAAAGATTAGAAACATACTCGTCTCACAGATCCAGAGATGTGTGTTATTTTTTTCCTTGACCAAATGTAGTTTGCTGAAGTCATAGGTAGCTGAGAGATTATAAACATACACGTCTCACAGATCCAGGGATGTGTGTTATTTTTTTTTCTTGAACAAATGTAGTTTGTTGAAGTCATAGGTAGCTGAGAGATTAGAAACATACACGTCTCACAGATCCAGGGATGTGTGTTCTTTTTTACCTTGACCAACTGTAGTTTGTTGAAGTCATAGATAGCGGAGAGATTAGAAACATACTCGTCTCACAGATCCAGGGATGTGTGTTCTTTTTTCCTTGACCAAATTTAGTTTGTTGAAGTCAAAGATAGCTGAGAGATTAGAAACATGCACGTCTCACAGATCCAAAGATGTGTGTCCTTTTTTTTTCTTGACCAAATGTAGTTTGTTGAAGTCATAGATAGCTGAGAGATTAGAAACATACACGTCTCACAGATCCAGGGATGTGTTCTTTTTGTCCTTGACCAAATGTAGTTTGCTGAAGTCATAGATGGCTGAAAGATTAGAAACATACTCGTCTCACAGATCCAGAGATGTGTGTTATTTTTTTCCTTGACCAAATGTAGTTTGCTGAAGTCATAGGTAGCTGAGAGATTATAAACATACACGTCTCACAGATCCAGGGATGTGTGTTATTTTTTTTTCTTGAACAAATGTAGTTTGTTGAAGTCATAGGTAGCTGAGAGATTAGAAACATGCACGTCTCACAGATCCAGAGATGTGTGTCCTTTTTTTTCTTGAACAAATGTAGTTTGTTGAAGTCATAGGTAGCTGAGAGATTAGAAACATACACGTCTCACAGATCCAGTGATGTGTGTTCTTTTTTTTACCTTGACCAACTGTAGTTTGTTGAAGTCATAGATAGCGGAGAGATTAGAAACATACTCGTCTCACAGATCCAGGGATGTGTGTTCTTTTTTCCTTGACCAAATTTAGTTTGTTGAAGTCAAAGATAGCTGAGAGATTAGAAACATGCACGTCTCACAGATCCAAAGATGTGTGTCCTTTTTTTTTCTTGACCAAATGTAGTTTGTTGAAGTCATAGATAGCTGAGAGATTAGAAACATACACGTCTCACAGATCCAGGGATGTGTTCTTTTTGTCCTTGACCAAATGTAGTTTGCTGAAGTCATAGATGGCTGAAAGATTAGAAACATACTCGTCTCACAGAGCCAGAGATGTGTGTTATTTTTTTTCCTTGACCAAATGTAGTTTGCTGAAGTCATAGGTAGCTGAGAGATTATAAACATACACGTCTCACAGATCCAGGGATGTGTGTTATTTTTTTTTCTTGAACAAATGTAGTTTGTTGAAGTCATAGGTAGCTGAGAGATTAGAAACATGCACGTCTCACAGATCCAGAGATGTGTGTCCTTTTTTTCTTGAACAAATGTAGTTTGTTGAAGTCATAGATAGCTGAAAGATTAGAAACATACACGTCTCACAGATCCAGGGATGTGTGTTCTTTTTTTCCTTGACCAAATGTAGTTTGTTGAAGTCATAGGTAGCTGAGAGATTCGAAACATACACGCCTCACAGATCCAGGGATGTGTGTTTTTTCCCTCCTTAAAGCAACAGGTTTGTTTGTCAGAGGTGAAATCGACATTCTAGCATATAGGTTATGTGGCAAGCACTTTTTGTTGGGGGGGGGGGGGGGGGGGGGGGGGGGGTTCATTTACTTCTTATCTTGGCTCAGAAATCTGCAAACACCTGCGATCATTCAGAGGTGCTTTTTCAAATCTTTTAATTAGTTCTGAAAGTACCCCCCCCCCCCCCCCCCCCCCCCCCCCCCCCCCTTGTTTTAGTAGGTAAATTGCATAAGTTTTCTTGTATCTTTACTTTAAACAGCTGCAAAAGGACAACAGTTTTGTGTTAAATGTTTTTTAGTTGGGTAAGGATATGTGGGACTGATGATCTGATTGGGGGGGGGGGGGGGGGGGGGGGTCCTCTACTAGAAGAGGGGCCCCAGACCTTGTATAAATTATCACCTTTTTAAAAGAGTCATTGTTATCCTCCCTTTATACATAATATGTATAGTGTATAAGTATGTGCACGCATGCATATATGCTTGTATATGTGTGTGTTCACCTGAATGTGCCATTCTGTGTTTGTGAGTGATTTTCTTCATGTTTTGGAAGAGAGATTGGGTGAGTGAGAGTGAGCCATCCTGGCATGTTGAGTTATTTTGATTTCAGACAACTTTTGGCGTTGATTCATCGCATGGTGGAGTTTGTCGTCCGAGAAGGTCCCATGTTTGAAGCTATGATCATGAACAGGGAGTTGAATAACCCTTTCTTCAGGTACGTGGTACTTGTTTTTGTGTAGCTCTGCATGTCTTGCACACAGTCAGATTAGTAAAGTAAGTAAAGGTCCCTTTTCCACGCCTTTAGGTATATTGGGAATAAACGGCTAGACATCACGCCAGCCGCCTTTACTTCTCAAGACGGCATCTGGTACTCACTCAAGGCTGGATCGACATGGGAGTCAAGGTGATTTTTGAAAAAAGTCAGGCCCGTCAAGATGCAAACCTACTACCTTCTAGCAGAAATACAGAAGAGGATGAGTTAACTCAGCCGCCGTGATAAAACATGTCAACATAACAGAAGATTAGTTAGTTAGTCGAGGTTTCAACATCATGGCAGTCAGGTTTCCCCATACTTGCTCCATTCCTGTGGCAGTGGGAATCAATTGAAATGTCCCTCACTGTCGCGTTTGAAAAACTGGTAAATAAACAGCTAGTTCCGGAACAATTCAGAAATATGTGCACGCAGTAAATACGTATTTCAGTTGCTCCAGGTGGCAAAGCCAACAATCGCCACCAGAAATGCAGTTTGTCGTTAGTGGAAGCAGTCGGGCACGATAAGTTGGTTACTATACACATAAGGTATTTCACCAGCTTACACACACAGAAAAAAGGGCCAGAAGAGATTAGGCAGTGTATACCACAGATAGAGCAATTAACTCTTTCATTACCAGAGGACCCCTGTGTGGATTCCAGGGCTCTATTGTGGGGGAAAACAAGAATAGACCCACTGCCTCCCCAAAAGCATGTCGTAAGACAGATAAATTGGGGAGCTTCCTTTGAAGTCGGAGTGCATCTGCCAACAGTCTGTATTCAAGAGAATGAGATCTGTAAAACTGATGCACATGCAAGACTCAGGTTCCGGAGAAGGACTGCAGTTCAGTAGTGGACGAGCAACCAGAACTTTCTGCCAGAGTGTACAGCTGGTGAATGTGAAGAAGAAAAAGAAGATTACCAGAGGACAGTTAAATTAGTTATAAGTCAAGTTGTCATGCGTGCCTTGCTTTGGTACTGCAAATTTTCATAGACCAGTTGGTTTTTTATTGGGTGATGTGGTCAGCATAATGCTGGCCATCTTTACTTTCCAAGCCTTGGAGATGTGGAAAGTCTAGCTGATGTTTAGTATGTAAACCATACTGTGTAAATATTATAAATGATTTTAATGATTGCAGATTCCTGTTTGATAATAAAAGTCCAGCCCACACTTACTACAGATGGAAGCTGTATTCCATCCTGCATGTACGTATCAATCAGAGTGGATTGTTGTGTAGTTTTAGAGCTGCTACTACTGTCTGGCTCTGGAGCCATTTTACTTACATAAGTTAACTGGTTAACTTGCCTGTATTGGGAGTCTCCATGATTAAACCGCTTGCCTTGAGTTTTTCTGCTGGCCCATATGACCACCAGATCAGGTCATTGTTCTGGTAATATCTCATCCATGTGGTCAAGCCATCCAGGTAGGTATTTATCTCTATTCCCCCTTCTTCCTCTCTTTCTGAGGGGGGTGGGGGGTAGTCCACTACTCCTCTCACAAAGATTAGATAAATGTGTTTCCTTCAGAGTTATGAGTTAATCTGTTCCAAAAGCGAGGAACTGAACCAACAATGTGTTTACAGATAAGTCAGATCTGTAAAATGGATGAAACTAAAGCTCCCAAAACTGAAGCTCTGGATCGAGACTAAAGTCCAAAAGCAGAAGAACATCTAAAACTTTCTGCTGAAGTTTACAGACTGGATGTGGAAAAAAACTGGACTTTTATGAGAAGTTGGGGTTTCCATCGCATTTAGTGCATTTAATTCTTCTTCTTCTTTCTTCTTTGCGTTCACCAGCTGTAAACTCTGGCGGAAGGTTCTGGTTGCTCGTCTACTACTGAACTGCAGTCCTGCTCCAGAACCTGAGTGTTGCGTGTGCATCAGTTTTACAGATCTCATTCTCTTGAATACAGACTGTTGGTTCCTTGCCTCTCCGGCAGACGCACTCCGTCTTCAAAGGAAGCTCCCCAATTAGTTGACTCTTACAACATGCTTTTGGGGAGGCAGTGGGTCTATTCTTGTTTTCCCCACAATGGGGCCCCGGAACCCACACAGGGGGTGCATTTAATTGAAAATCTTTATCATGAACAACAAACAGCCATCAGAGCAGCTGGTGAAACATCAGATTGGTTCCATGTGCAAAAGAGAGTGAGGCAGGGGTGTTTTCTCTCACCATACCTATTCAATAAATACACAGAAAATATGAGAAATGGCAAAAAGGACCAGACTTGTGACAGGATCCGCTCAAAATTGATGGCAACCCTATTCCGGAACTTCACTACACAGATGACACAGTCCTCCTTTTGAACAGCGTAAAGAGAATATAAAATTTAATATTGTCTGTCCAAAAGCACATTGAAGATCAAAATCTGAATTTAGCAAAAATAAAAATAATGTCCACAGATAAAACTGACTATCACCCAAAAGTAACAATCAATGATGAAGAAATTGAAAATGTCAAAGAAGGCATGGTACCAGGAAGAAGAGGCAGGGGCCGACCAACACAAAGATGGGTACAGGATATAAGTCACTTCTTGAATATTAAAGTACATGGGGTGGGAGAACTGGCGAGTGACTGAGTTTCTTTCAGGCAAACCGTAATGAGAGCAACGTTCTGCAAAGGACCTGCTACATGATGATGATGGCAGTGGAAAAAAAAAAAGCTGTTGGTCGGTCTATGAAAAATGTCTCATCTTTCCTGTAGGTGTAAAGAGGTTGAAGAACTCTGGTTTAACTTATTGTGTGCCATTTGGGCATAAAAGTTGTCTTCCTAGCACCATGTCTTGCAGCATATCATCTACAACTACACTTGTTATGCTAGATTTGCATTTGCTATTTCAGGGGGATACAGCAATGAAATGGAGGATAGATGAATTCTATATGTTCAAGGGTGGTTCCATTTGGCGACCCCCACCTATCAACCCATTCACACAAGGCATGCCAGATGATCTGGTGAACAGAGAAGCCAACACAGAGTTTGAGGTTATTTTGCGGAAAGGAAAACTTACAAACAGGCATGTTGCATTTTCATTTTTTTTTTCACCATGACATTAGCAAGTCTGTTCATATCATAAAGTTTTGATTGAGGTCTGAAAGATACTAAACCTGAATAAAACTTCCTTAACATGCATCCCAAGGAGCTGAAAATAAAATTTGTATTAAAAACAGTTCATGCTAAATGGGCACTTGTAACCATAATACTTCCCTGCTGGGACCAAAATGTTGTTCATGTTAAGCGACTTTTTCTTGAGCCAGTTTGTGTTGACAAGGTTTTACTCTAATTCTGCACAAATCAAAATGTATGTGTCTTTGCTGCTGCATATAGATCAGTTAGTCTGGTTTCTTCTGCAAAGTGAAAGTCGTCTTTCTTTCTCCGTGTTATAAATAATATGGCTCATGACAGTTATCTTATGTAGCAATTGACTTGGACAGAAGTAGGATATGGTTTTGAATAGTTACTGTCATCAAACTTGCTCATATGCCGTATGTTTTGAATAGTTACCCTCATAAACTTGCTCATATGCCGTATGCTTTGAATAGTTACCCTCATTAAACTTGCTCATACGCTGTATGTTTTAAATAGTTACCCACATCAAAC